CTAATTGAATAATAACACCATCATTTTTAAGCTCTCCTAGATTCATAGATGGATAAATAGAGTATGGCATGACATTAATTGATGCACCTAAATCTAGCATAGCATGTTCGAACCTTGTATTACCAATTACACAAGGGATAGTGAAACTACCTGGATCTTTGCATTTAGGTGGCAGCTTTCTTTGCAATATGGCAGAGACATTCTCACTTACATGTACCACCTCTTTTTCCCGAATCCGTTTCCTTGTTGTACAAATCTTCTTCAAAAACTTCGCATACTTCGGAATTTGCTTTATTGCATCAAGGAGCGGGATATTGACATGCACTTTCCTAAACGTCTCCAGGATGTCTTTTTCATCCTCCTCTATCTTGGCTTGCATAAACCTGCTAGGAAATGACACATTTGGTGGAATCACATTAGAAATAATTGAGTTTGGACCTACCTTACATTTGTTGGATGGCCTAGAAGCTTGAAGTGGTTGCGGCAAAGGTTGCTCCACCTTTGCCTTGGCTTTACCCTTCCTCTCTTCCTCTTGCACAAACCTTTCATCCTCTTCTTGGCTTGATTTTGGTAGTTGTGGGGTGGTTCCAACTTCCTTGCCACTTCTTAAGGTGATTGCATTGGCGGTTTCAAAGCCTCCCTTCGGATTTGGAATGGTTGAGCTAGGGAGCTTGCCTTGGTCTCGGAATTGCCCTACAAACTCCTCAATCTGCCCAATTTGCTTCTCCAATTGATCCACCCTCTTTTCTTGATTTTGCATTGCTTTGGCTTGATTCTCTTGTCCCTGAGACAAATTAGTTAATAACTTAAGAAGCGTATCATTGTCTAGAGACGTACCTGAACTTGTTTGGGCAGATTGTGGAGGTGCTTGTGTGGGTGCGAATGGCTTGGTGAAGAAGCCCGGGGGTTGTTACCTAAAGCCTCCTTGTTGTGGTGGTTGTTGGGACTCCCTCCATTTGAAGTTCGGGTGGTCTCTCCAACCTGGATTATAAGTGTTCGAGTACGGATCGTTCCTTGGTTGGTTTTGGCCCTGAAATCCAATTGCGTTGGCGCTTTCCCATCCACCATTTTCTATGAGTTGTGGGCACTTCTCAGAAGCATGTCCTTGGATAGAACACACCCCGCATACAATCGGTCCTTGCATCCTCATTCCTTCGGCCATCTGAGACACAATGGAAGTAAGATTAGCTAATTGTGAATGAATATCGGGTGTGGAACTTACCTCATGCACTTGCTGCCGTGGGGGTCCTCTTTGTCCTACTCCTTCGTATTGTTGAGCGTTCAACGCTCGGTTAGCAATCAAGACCTTTGTAGCCATGGGTGTCTTGTCCACCAATGCTCCACCCGCCGAGGCATCGAGCTTCACCCGCCGAGGCATCGAGCATTTGTCGTTCAATTGGTAGGAGCCCTCGTAGAAGTATTGTAGAAGCAACTCCTCCTTCGTCTGATGTTGTGGACAAGAAGCAACAAGAGATTTAAAACGTTCATAATACGTAGGAAAAGACTCACCTTCATCTTGTTGAATTCCACTTATCCTTTTACGTAAAAGGATGATTCGAGAAGTTGGGAAAAACTTCTCCAGAAATGCCCTCTTCATGCTCTCCCATGATGTGACGGTTCCGGGAGCTAAGTTATACAACCAATCCTTGGCTTTGTCCATTAAAGAGAATGGAAAAGCCTTCATCTTCAAAATACTTCCGTCGACGTTGACGGGAGTCATGCTTGAACACACCACCTCGAATTCCTTCAGATGCTTGTTCGGATCCTCCATGGACAATCCATGGTACTTCGGAATGTGGTGGAGCAAGCTTGACTTCAACTCAAACTCCTCGGTCTTGCCTTCGGCCGGTGGGGGATATTGGATACACAAGGGTGCGGCATTATCCAATCCCGAAGCGGAAAGCTCCTTGAGTGTCCGGGTGTCTACGGCCATGCCTTGTGGTTCTTCAAAGATCCTTGCCGTGGGTTCCTCCTTCTCTTCTAGGACTTGTTCTTCAAGCTCAGGTTCCGGGCTTGGTAGATTTGACTCGTGGTGCTTCTTCCTTCGTCTCAAAGTCCTCTCAAAATCACTGTCAAAGTCCGAGATACCCTCACGAATCGGTTGAGAACTCCGAGTCATACACTAGTACCTAAAACAAGAAAAACAAAACAAGGTCAGAAACTTTAACAAAATAAATAAACAGAAAGTAAACAATCCAAGGGATTAGCAAAGTTGCTAATCCCCGGCAACGGCGCCAAAAATTTGATGCGAACTAAATAAGCACACAAATTAAAACCCTCTTGTGACAATTGTAGTATATGTATAAGTAAGGATCGTTCTTAACCGGGGATTAGGAGGGATTGCAAAATCACTTGGAAACTGACTAAAAAACGTAAAATAAAGGTTAAAACACTAAACTAGACTCAAAGAATGCAAAACTAAACACTTCAAACACTAAAACAAACCAAAAACTCAAAACAGCACCCAAAACACTCAAAACTGCCTTAAAAACACTTTCTGGGCAGTTTTGAGCACTTTGACTACTTTGGATGAAATTGGGTAATAAAATGAATCAAAACACTTAGAAACACAAACTAAGACACTTTCTAACTAAATTGGACACTAAAGTAAAGGGGGATTGAGGTTTTGACTAAATTAAACTAAATGCACAGAATGTAATTAAGGGCAGATTGTAAATATGAATGTGATGAAAATATGGATGAATGCTAGCTAGAAGGTTCTTCTCCACACATGTTACACTTGCATACAAGATGATTTTCGGTTGGTTTTTCGATGAATTATGAAACTCAACACCCCGGGTTAATTAGGTCCGCTTAAATTAACCGTCAAGTTCTCCTTAAGTTAATGAATTGGATGAGTTAGCGCAACGCAATTCAAAACATTCTCCAAAAGTCCTTTACGTGAAAAGCACAATAAAGATACAATCAAAGATCATTAAGCATCATGAAAACTATAAGTGCTGACGAGGCCTTCGTTACTATGATGAGCATGAAACTAGTGCCAATAATTCATTTAACGCGATTGTTTGTAAGCAACCTCCACTACTTGTGAATATAAGTTCATAATTATTAGGTGAAACTCACTTATATTCTAGCGTCATATTCATGCATGAAAATTAAGCGTGCACTCTCAATAAACATACATAAATAAGTTATCAATCAAACAGTTAAACAAATTGAATCTACAACTCATGAAATTCCAATCAAAGGTAATCAATTCATATTGCAAGCATAAACATGGTTTCGAATCACCCCCTAGCTAACTAGGGATTTAGCCTCTCATGTTCACAGAAAGAGAAATAAAATTGAATTTAAACATAACGAACAAAGGATGGATTACACCTAAAACGCCCAAGGAATCCACTTGAATTTCTGCACGTTTTAAGGTCCTCTTTCTTCTTCTCCTTGCTGCGGCAGAGATGGTTTTGGATGATTTGGGGTGAGTTTCTGGGTTATAGATGGGTTTAGGGTGGTAAAGGTGTGCGGCAAGGGGTGTGGATGGTGTATGGAGGTGTGGAATGGAGTGAGGAATGGTGGGAAGGCTGCGGCAAGGTTGTAGGAAGGTGGGTAATGGCTGGAATGGAAGGGGAATGCACGGGTTGATGAATGAATGGGAGAGACAGCTAGGGGGAATATATGTATGATGGTGGCTGAATGATGAAGAGTGAATGAATGGAATGACAGCTAGGGAGTGAATGATTGGAATGACAGCTAGGGAGTGAATGATGAAGGGAGTCACGGCTAGGGAGTGAATGATTGATGGTGGCTGAATAGAATGCATAAATAATGCATGTAGGGTGCGGCTAAGGTTGTATAATATGTAGGGTTTTAGAAAATAAACCCTACCTTATTATAATTAAATCAAAGGCTTCTAGAATTTAGGAAATAAAATCATAAATTAAAGGGGGAATGATTAAAGGGTGTGGCTATGGTGGGAAAGGTGTGGAAGATGGCTGGAATTAGGAGAAGGAAATAGGTTTAATTCAGAAATAAAAGGGCAAGGTGGCTGCAAGGAAAAGGATTAGGGTTTAGGTGCATAGAATGGGCCTAAAATACCTCCCCTTGCACGGTAAGGGAAGGGGAGAAGGGAAAAACCCACGGCAAGGTTGTGTAATTGGGCTAGGGCCATTGTTTTGTGTCCTAAAGTGCCTACAAGGCCTTCAAAGTGGCTAGAAAATACGGACGTTTAAGTTTAGGAAAGGTTACCAAAACGGGAAACCTAGGGTTAACTTTCCTACTTCAAGTAGGAATCCTTGTTTGAGTAGGATTCCTCGTTTTGGTAGGAATTCATCGTTTGGAGTAGGAATTCGTCGTTTCTTCAAGTCTTCAACTCATTCATTCCTCTTTTGCTCTAAAAGACTCCAATTAGCATCTTCTTGCACACTTTGGCCTTATAATCTGAAAATACACAAAAGTGGCCTTAAACACTAAAATAACTAAGTAAACACAACAAAAATGCACGAGAACAAGCTCATTAAGTCGCATGAATACGCTCCTATCACTGGGTTGCAGGAAGATGATGGGGAAGAGAGAGGGGGGAGATGCACGAAAGGAGAGGGAAGATGATGGCTAATGTTTTTTATTTTTTTATGTACTTTTTTATTATTATTTTAATATTTAAATAATATTAAATGATTTTTTTTGTTTTTAATAATTTTTTTAATAATTTTTTAATAAAAATGGGTCCCGGATCAAGCCATGTCAGCATTTAACTGATAAATAAATGGCCAAGCTAACGGAAGGTATAACATTGATACAAATTCGTAAGATGAGGTATGACATTGTCAATTTTAAAAGATGAGGTATGAAAGTGTCATTTGACCCATACTTGTGGTAGTTTTTTGTAATTAACTCTAAAAATAATAATAACAAAATATAAAATTAAAAAAAAAAACTAACATTTGCACAGATCCATTTCCAGCAAATTCACAGTTCACTATCAGATATCAGTGCAGTGCAGATTTTGCACTACTCCCTGCATAGATCACATCCAATCCAAATACAAAGTCCAACATTCAAGTTTATAGATTAACAACGTTATATCGTCCAGCATCGTTCGATACATTAAATACGAGACATTCAAAATAACATCCGAGAGACATTTAAAGATCAAATCAACATACAAAACATCTGAGAGTCCAAGACATCCAAATTATGGAGTCCAAAATCAAATAATCCAAAATAACATAAACATGACATCCGCAATAAATTCCGCATTAACATCCGAAACCACATCTAAGAAACTGATTAAAAATCTGAAGAAAAACTTTTAGGAATGTATCAGGTCTGTATACTATGGACCTAAGTATTAATCTTATAGCTGGTAAACACCTTTTAGAGTTGGGTATAAATGATGCAAGAGAAGTTGAGGGAATGCAAAATAAGTCGATCCAAGTACAAGCACATACGGTGAAGAGGCTTTAATTTTTTTTTTTTTTTTTTTAATGTAATAAAATGCAATTTAGACAAGTATTTGAAGGTTCATTGTGTTTTAATCTTTCTATGTCACATGATTATTGTACTAGATGTCATAATTTGATTTTAGAACTTCTCTACAACACTAAAATAAGTCGATCTAGTTATACCTGTTGCTGTTGGTAGAGATGCTGAACTTGTAAGGGACGTTAGCTCCACAGCTGGAATATGGTGCCACTCTTTTCCAGACAGCTGCAAGAGAGAAACGATAAAAATGTATGAGTTACTATTGACCATCTGGGAAATTTACAATAAAACTGTATGATAAATGATATTTAGGAAATAGAGGTATTATTTATGAGAATAATATCTTTCCTTTTATACTTATATTAGGAATCAGGATATTCAAATGCATAGTCAGATATCTATTATAATCCTGACAAAAATAAAGGCAGAGAATACAGAACCAGGTTTACGCAGCATGGATGCCTTTATTCTAGACAGAAGGTAATGAGGGGGTAAAACAACAAAAACAAAGGCAGAGAATACAGAGCCAGGTTTACAGTCCAAATAAACTACTAGGAACCAGGTAATAAACTTGAGGACGGGACTACATCCCTGCGAACCACCAAAAAAAAAAAAACGAACAGAAGTATTAACCACGTCTACTACTGTCAAAGAAAGCTAGGATACAAATTAATGGACTATTGAGAGCAAAAGAGAGACTTGGTCCAAAGCGTCACGAGTTCTAGATTCTGACACTCCCATCCATGTTACCAAAACATTTTCATCCCCCCAAACAATTCATAACACAGGCAACAAACAAAAATCAAAGTATGCATTAGCCATCTTTCTCAGCATCTCTACCACCACTAATCCATCTTTCATTTAACAAAAAAAAAAAAAAAAAATCAAAGTATGCATTAGCCATGTCAACGACTCGATATAGAGAGATTCAAACTTAATGAAAGCCATTTCTCATAATAAGTTCTAACGAAGTTTCAAAAGAAACGGCACAAGACCTAAATGTCCGAAAAGACTTGACGCTCCATTGTCTCGATTCCCAGTCTACTTGATCTTCTTCTTTGGCATCAGCTGCATTAATAAAAGATAACACGAATAAAGAACAAAACTAAAACGGTAAGGGTTGAGAAGGTAGGATCAAACAGACATCGATATTCAATCAGCTATATGAAATACCTGGTTGCTGTGTCCCCACTTCTTCTTCCTGCAGTTAACCGCAAGGGGGTGCAGGCGGGCATAGCACCTGTTCACGAGTATTTATATATGTGAGATACAAAGAGAATCAAAGAAAAGAAAAATAACTCTCAAACTAAAGAAAGTAAGACACTCAATCAAGTCAGACGAATGGTTTCGGTGTAAATATAAATCAAACTTCTTAAACTGAATCCAATATGACATTGGGATTTGGCAATGTAAGTACTCATCCACATTCTCTTTTCTAAATCCAAATCCTTTTATATAAAAAAACCACATAGATTTTGTCTCAGAAGCAAACAGATCAATCATGAATCATCAATCCACTACAAAATTAAGTTAATTAACTCTAGTAACCTAGTTCAAAAACCACAGACATTCTCGGCCCTCTGGGTTCTCAAAAGCAAACAGATCAATCATCAATTCAATCATCAATCCACTGCAAAATTAACTCTAGTAACCTACTTCAATCACCAATTCAATCATCAATCACCAATTCAATGCAATCATCAATCATCAATTTATTCATCAATCTACAAATTCTAATTAAAAAACCCTAAAATCCCTACACCCGAAATTCAAATTAATAATAAAACCCTAATTCAAAATTACCTAAATTTTAGAGGGATGATGGCTGCGTCCTCGATGGCGATGATGGGGTGATGGTGGTCGCGATGGCGGTGGTGTTGTCGAAGAGGAGAGAATTGAGCCGTGGTTCTGGGACTTGTGTTCTTTGGGATGTTGTCGTGGAGGATGGCTGGATGGGTGGTGCCATTGTTGGTTGCGACGGCTTTGGGATGTTGTCGTGGAGGATGGCTGGATGGGTGGTGCCATTGTTGGTTGCGACGGCGGTGAGGCTGGATGGGTGATGTCGTCAAGAAGATGATGGAGTTCGAGGGAGGGAGTGAGTGACTGTCTGACACTAGAAGTGGAACCTAGACACAAGGGACATCGACTAGGGTAGAATTAACGATTGAGATTGATGATAGGATATTATTTAATCTCGGTCGTTCATTATTATTAGAAACGGGTCGGTCCGGGTCCCCTTTTTCTAAGGATTAGGACTTGGCCCACCCCGTATTTGATAGCGTCCCGTCCCGTCCCAGCCCATTTACTCTCTACAATATATGTACCTGCCCCGAATTGGCATTACTCGCCCCGACTCATGGGTCTAGGGACCGTTTGCCCAGCCCTAGTTGGTATATCCTTTCAGGGGTTGGAGAAAGTGATTTGGATCCATTGACTATCTCTTGGTTTGATGTTTCTGGTGACATAGTCCGGTTGTGTTGTACTTTTGGTTGCGGGTTTGTAGTTTTTGTGTTGCGAAGTCTGGGTCCATTTGACCACTTGATCGTTTTGTTCAGCATGGCTGCCTTGGTGACTGCTGACAAGTCATTTGCACCGATGGCAACAATTGTTTACTGCATTTAGATGATAAAGAAGAGGGTTTTGTTAGTTTTTTGTCTGTTTTCTTATTAGGTTTGGCTTTATGTGTATTTGGATTTCCCCATTATGTTTTGGTTTTGGGTTGTTTTACCGTTCCTTGTGTTTGCCTGGTGTATTTTTTTTTCCTTAATGAATGATACTTTTTGACAAATGTCAATTAGAAACTTCAACTTTGGTATTTGAAAAACTAATATCTAGGTATCCTAATTTAGTATTGTTGTAAAAACCCGCACACTGGACCTTGTTCTTTTGATGTAACCAACGGCAATAGACTAAACTAGCAAATATAGAAAACTTAGAAACACACAAGAATTATACTGGTTCGGCAGAACTTATGCCTAAGTCCAGTTGTGATTTCCCTGATTTCCCTAGGTAGAGAAATCACCACTTCTTTGATTAATAATAGAGATTACAGAACTTATGCAAACCCTAGAACTAATCTCAAAACTCTCTGCTGTTTTTCTGTTTTTTCTCTGCTGTTTTTCAGCCTTGCCGCACCCTATTTATAGATATAGGGTTGGCTTACATGTCCTTTACAGATTATAATTCCTATTCTAAGTGGAATAGGAAATTAGACTTCCTTTCCAATTCCAAATAGACTTCTAGGATTTCTAATCTAAATTGAATAAGGAAACTAAGATTCTTTCCTAGCCCTTTTAGGAGAAGAATTGGTGCACCCTTTCCCTAAAACAATCCTAAACAGAAAAGGACACAAATTGACGAGCCAAAACTAACAATCTCCACCTTGGTGAGTCAAACCAAGTCTTGATCGTTTGCACCCCAGAGTATCTTTGAACCTTCTTGAAGTAGCTCTGGAAAACTTCAAGAGTCTTCACCTTGGCAACCTCCTTCTTGCCTCATTGCACCTCAGGTGAGGAGGTGCTCCACTTTAATCAATCAACGAGATTGATCAAGTTCAAACAATGCTTGAACTTCTTGGCCGGCACTATCTTTGTAAGGAAATCTGCGGCATTGTCATCCGTATGAACCTTTTCAATCCAAATTTCCTTAGACTCCACCCAATCTCTGATTCTGTGATACCTTGCTTCAATGTGCTTTGATCTTCCAGAAAAAACCTGATTCTTTGCCAAGTGAATGGCACTTTGACTATCACACTTAAGCTTCACACAATCTTGAGTGATTCCCATTTGACTTACCAAGCCACTAAGCCAAATTGCTTCCTTTCCAGCTTCGGCCAATGCAATATACTCTGCCTCTGTGGTTGATAAGGCTGTAATTGGTTGCAGTAGTGCCCTCCAACTGATTGGTCCTCCTGCGCATGTAAACACATAACCAGAAGTTGACCTTCTCTTGTCCAAGTCCCCTGCATAATCGGCATCCACATATCCTAACACCCCTGCATTTTCCTTTTGCTTCTCAAACATAATCCTTTGTCGCCAAGAACCCTTCAAATAACGCAAAATCCACTTGACTACATCCCAATGTTGCTTTCCTGGATTTGCCATGTATCTGGAAACGACACTGATTGCTTGAGCTATGTCAGGACGTGTGCATACCATTGCATACATGAGGCAACCCACGACATTAGCATAAGGCACCTTCTTCATTTCTTGTTGCTCTTCCTCGGACGTAGGACACTGTTGTCCACTTAACCTGAAGTGAGCTGCCAAAGGAGTCGAAACTACCTTTGCTTCTTGCATGTTGAACTTCTCAAGAACCTTCTGAATATACTTGGCTTGTGATATCCAAATCCTTCCAGCGGTCCTATCTCTCTGAATTTCCATGCCAAGGATCTTCTGTGCGGCACCTAGATCCTTCATGTCGAACTCCTCGCTCAACATCCTTTTCAAGTCTTGAATTCTAGACTTGTCTTGACAAGCAATTAACATGTCATCCACATATAGCAATAGCAATATGATCATCCCATCTTGGAACACATGATAGTACACACAACAATCATACAAACACCTTCTAAAATTAATTTTCAGCATGAATGAATCAAACCTCTTGTACCACTGTCTTGGAGACTGTTTCAGGCCATACAGGGACTTCCTTAGCTGACATACTTGGTTTTCTTTCCCATATTCAACAAACCCTTCTGGTTGAGCCATGAATATCGTCTCCTCTAAATCCCCATGAAGAAACGCTGTCTTCACATCCATCTGCTCAATCTCCATGTCATGCTGAGCTGCCATTGCTAAAAGCAATCGGATAGAAGTATGCTTGACTACAGGTGAAAAGATCTCATCATAATCCACCCCTTCCTTTTGCGAGTACCCCTTAGCCACAAGCCTTGCTTTGAATCTCACGACATCTTGTTCATGTAGTCCTTCCTTTTTCCTAAATACCCACTTGCATCCAACTAGCTTTCTGTCTTTGGGTTTAGGAACCAACTCCCAAACAGAGTTCTTGTAAAGAGACTCCATTTCCTCTGTCATAGCACTTATCCAACTATCTCGCTCATCACTTGCTATAGCTTCTCGATAAGTAGTCAGATCTCCTTGACTAATGTTAAGAGCATAATTAACTTCGTTTTGGTCAAACCCAAACCTGTCAAGTTTCTTCTTGTTCCGCTTAGGTTTGTCCAGTGCTATGCATCTTTGGAATGCAGGTGGATTGTTGGGTGGAGTTTGACTCCTTTGGGATATCTGGCGGATTGGAGTACCTTCAATCTGTCCTGTTTCTTGCTCCACCTGATTCCTAACTGGTGAATGATGTTGATGCTCTTCTTCTTCCTCAAAACCATCAGATTCGGCCTCTTGCTCAATTTGCTCCGCCTGAGCTTCTTCTTCATCTGACCTGATTAACGGAATCTTTGTTGCTTCAATTTCAGCATCATCCTTCTTCTCCCTACTGCTCTCGACTTTATTCAGAGGCATGGTTGTCTCATCAAAGACAACATCTCGACTGACAACCTTTTTCCTGTTGTTGAAATCCCAAAGCTTGAAACCCTTCACTCCTTTCTCAAAACCTAGGAATATGCAAAGTATAGACTTCGGTTTTAGCTTGGACCTTTCATCACTTGGAATATGTGCATAAGCACTACAGCCGAACACCCTGAGCTTGGAATAATCCACCGGCTTCTCAGACCATACCTCTTCTGCACTCTTAAAACCGAGAACTGCAGATGGTGATCTGTTAATCAAATAACTTGCATGATTAACAGCCTCTGCCCAAAAACTATCAGGCAATCCTGCATGAAATCGCATGCTCCTTTCTCTCTCCATGAGAGTTCGGTTCATCCTCTCAGCAGCTCCATTTTGTTGGGGATTCTTCTTTACTGTGAAGTGCCTTATGATGCCTTCCTGCTTGCAGTAATCGGTGAACTCATTACTTGTATATTCACCTCCATTGTCACTTCTCAGATACTTGATCTTTCTTCCAGTTTGATTCTCGGTTTCTGTTTTCCATTCCTTGAACTTTGCAAAAACCTCGGATTTCTGCTTCATGAAATAAATCCAAACCTTCCTAGAAAAATCATCCATGAAAGTAACAAAATACCTGGCTCCACCATTTGATTTAGTTGGAGCAGGACCCCAAACATCTGAGTGAATATAGCTGAGTCGCTCCTTACTTCGGCTATCTGCACTGCTACTTGCGAATGATACCTTTCTTTGCTTCCCAAGAACACAGTATTCACAAAAGTCCAGTTTGCAAGCTGACACGCCTTCCAACAGGCCTTGCTTGTGTAATTCTTGCAATCCCTTCTGGCTTATGTGCCCGAGCCTATGATGCCATAGTTCAGTCTTGTCTTCTATACTTTGATTTACAGAAACAGCTGCTCCCCCGACTATAGTGGTCCCAATTAACTTATACAACTTATTGGGTTGTAGGTCACCCCGCATTACCACTAGCGATCCTTTGGTTACCCTGAGTCTTCCTTTTTTAGACTTGTACCCATAACCGGCCTCATCTAAAGTACCCAAGGAAATCAAATTCTTTCTTAGTCTAGGGACATACCTGACGTTCCCCAAAGCTCGTATCATCCCATCGAACATTCTGATTCGAACAGTGCCGATTCCTCTTACAGGACATGAAGAATCATCCCCCATTAAGACTTCCCCGCTGCTGACTTCTTTGTAAATATCAAACCATTCTTTTACTGCACACATATGAAACGTGCATCCAGTATCCAAAATCCAATTGGAAGCCTTGGAGCCCGATGTTACCGAAAGAAGTTCCCCGTCACTCTCATGTTCGGTGACTGCACTAGCGGAACCTGAGCTTCCTTCCATCTTGGCTTTCTTTTCTTTCCAAATCTTGCAGTTCCTCTTCCAATGATCGGCTGAACCACATTCGAAGCAACCTTCCTTCTTTTCCTTTTTCTTCTTGGATTTTGACCTACCTCTGTTGCCAGTTTTCTCTTCCCTTGTCTTTTCCCGCCCC